CATTGCTGAATTTTATCAAACATCTAGTGAAGACCTAATACGCATCCTCTTTAAAGTTTTCCAAAAAGTAGAAGAAGAGGGAATACTTCCAAATTCATTCTATGAGGCCAGCATCACTCTAATACCAAAACTAGGCAAAGACACCACAAAGAAAGAAAATACAGACCAATATCCCTGATGAACATAGATGCAAAAACCTTCAACAAAATATTAGCAATCTGAATTAAAAACTACATCAAAAACATCATCCATCATGATCAAGTAGGATTTATTCCAGGGATGCAATGTTGGGACAATATTTAAAAATCCATCAACATCATCCACCACATCAACAAAATGGACAAAAACCACATGATCATCACCATAAATGCTGAAAAAGCATTTGACAAAATTCAACATCCATTCATGATAAAAACTCTCAACAAAATGGGTATAGAGGGCAAATACCTCAACATAATAAAGGCCATATATGACAAACTCACAGCCAATATCATACTTAACAGCGAGAAGCTAAAAGTTTTTCCAATCCGGAACAAGACAAGGATGCCCACTCTCTCCACTTTTATTCAACATAGTATTGGAGGTCCTAGCCACGGCAATCAGACAACACAAAGAAATAAAAGGCATCCAGATTGGCAAGGAAGAAGTTAAACTGTCCCTGTCTGCAGATGACATGATACTGTACATAAAAAGCTCTAAAGAATCCACTATAAAACTACAAGATCTAATATCTGAATTCAGCAAAGTTGCAGGATACAAAATTAATACACAGAAATTTGTTGCATTCCCATACACTAACAATGAACTAGCAGAGAGAGAAATCAGGAAAACAATTCCACTCACAGTTGCATCAAAAAGAATAAAATACCTAGGAATAAACCAAACCAAGGAAGTGAAAGACTTATACCCTGAAAACTACAAGACACTCTTAAGAGAAATTAAAGAAGATACCAATAAATGGAAACTCATCCCATGGATGAGCTCATGGATAGGAAGTATTAATATTGTCAAAATGGCCATCCTGCCTAAAGCAATCTATAGTTTCAATGCAATGTCTATCAAAATACCAACAGCATTCTTCAATGAACTAGAGCAAATCATTCTGAAATTCATATGGAACCATAAAACACCTTGAATAGCCAAAGAATTCTGAGAAGGAAGAATAAAGCTGGGGGCATTACGCTCCCCAACTTCAAGCTCTACTACAAAGCCACAGTAATCAAGACAATTTGGTACTGGCACAAGAACAGACCCATAGACCAATGGAACAGACTAGAAAGCCGTGATATAAACCCAACCATATACGGTCAATTAATATACCATAAAGGAGCCATGGATATACAATGGGGAAGTGACAGCCTCTTCAACAGCTGGTGTTGGCAAAATTGGACAGCTACATGCAAGAGAATGAAACTGGATTAATGTTTAACCCCATACACAAAAATAAACTCAAAATGGATTAAAGACTTGAATGTAAGTCATGAAACCGTAAAACTCTTAGAAGACAACATAGGCAAACACCTCCTGAATATAAGCATTAGCAACTTCTTCCTGAACGCATCTCTTCGAGCAAGGGAAACAAAAGCAAAAATGAACTCATGGGACTACATCAAACTAAAAAGTTTCTGTACAGCAAAGGACACCATCAACAGAACTAAAAGGCATCCTACAGTATGGGAGAATATATTATTTATAAATGACATATCTGACAAGGGGTTAACATCCAAAATATATAAAGAACTTACACGCCTAAACACCCAAAATGCAAATAACCCGATTAACAAATGGGCAGAGGATATGAAGAGACAGTTCTCCAAAGAAGAAATTCAGATGGCCAACAAACACATGAAAAGATGCTCCACATCACTAATCATCAGGGAAATGCAAATTAAAACCACAATGAGATATCATCCCACACCAGTAAGGATGGCCAGCATCGAAATGACTAAGAACAACAACTGCTGGCAAGGATGCGGAGAAAGGGGAACCCTCCTACACTGCTGGTGGGAATGTAAGCTAGTTCAACCATTGTGGAAAGCAATATGGAGGTTCCTCAAAAAACTAAAAATAGAAATACCATTTGACCCGGGAATCCCACTCCTTGGAATTTTCCCAAAAAATACAACTTCTCAGATTCAAAAAGACACATGCACTCCTAGGTTTATCACAGCACTTTTTACAATAGACAAGATATGGAAGCAACCAAAGCGTTCATCAGTAGATGAATGGATAAAGAGGATGTGGTACATATACATAATGGAATACTATTCAGCCGTAAAAAAAGAAACAAATTCCTACCATTTGCAACAGTATACATGGAGCTGGAGGACATTATGCTCAGTGAACTAAGCCAGGCAGAGAAAGACAAATGCCGAATCATTTCCCCCATTTTTGGAGTATAACAGTGAAGCAAAACTGAAAGTACAAAACAACAGCAGACTCAGAGACTCCAAGAATGAACTAGTGGTTACTGAAGGGGAGGAGTGTGGGAGGGCGGTGGGGAGGGAGGGAGAAGGGGATTGAAGGGTATTATGTTTAGTACACATGGTGTGGAGGATCACAGGGAGAACTGTGTAGCACAGAGAAAGCACATAGTAGATCTGTGGCATCTTACTACACTGATGAACAGTGACTGCATTGGGGTATGGGTGGGGACTTGATAATATGGGTAAATGTAGTAACCACATTGTTGTTTCATGTGAAACCTTCATAAGAGGTATCAATCATACCTTAATTTTTTAAAAAACCTACTGATAATTACTTTAGTAATTCCATATGTTTTCTTCAAATACATTTTCCCTCCATCCAGTCACTAACACATCGAGCAACAAAATGAGTAGTGTTCAGGATTCCAACAAATGTGTCAAGTAATTTTAAGTTTCAATGGTTGATGTTGAAAATGACATGCAAATCCAAGTAGAAAAAATCAAAATCAAAATCAATTTCATTTTGTTTAGTATCTCATGAGCTGCCAGTATTTGGCACACTGATAGCTGAAAAACATTCCTTTAAACACCTCCTATCTGGAACCAATCAATATTTTTAATCCTCACAAGTACATCAGTTAAGTATCACTGCTTATATGTAGTTTCAACACACAGTTCAAAAAATAGAGACTAATATATTTGAACAGTGGCATTCCTCTGACACTAAAAAATGAGATAGTCAAATGCCAATTACTTGGCAAATATTTTCCAACTATGTAAATAAAAGAACATGTGCTATTTCCCATAACATATGCTACAGAAATGGAGCTATTCTATGTAAAAGTCCATGGCAAAATAGAGAATGCATTAATAAACACATATTCTGAAATACCTGAAGTAGCTTCTTTTGCTTAAACACAATAAAAAGGAGTAATTCAACTGGAAAGAAGACCTCAGAGCTCCTACACTCTGACAAACCTCTCTTTACCATATGACCCTGGCCACACCAAGTTAGACCAAAAGTAGGAAATCTAACTCTAGAAGAAGCAAGAGTAAAGGACAAGTAAGCCAACTGTTCATAGGTGCCAATCAAGAAACCATCAATGTTGGCCTATTCGGGTGATGAACTAATAGGCAGACATACAAGACATACAAGAACTCATCATCACAGTCTACAACAAAGAAGGCCTGACTTGTACAAGAATGAGAATCAAAATCCTGGCCTTGACACCCATCAAAAAATTACTCTTCTCTATTCCCACATCAAAACTCCTACAACTTTTAACTGTTGTATAGTTCTCAGATGCACACAGAGAATAGGGGATTTCTTCAGACAATAGTCAATTCCTTCCTCAAATTCTTTCCACAGTATTTTTCTCCTTTGAGTTAACTGTTTGTTTTCTCTGAGACTTTACTTTTAAGGGTTCTTATCTGGGCACAAGGGTGTTAAAAGAGCAGCCAGATACTTCCTGTATGCTGAATGGAAAAAAGTCTTTCTCTATACTTTCCCAAATACCTCTTCCTGCCTTCTTCTTTTTCTCTTTTGAAAAATACTGCCTTCTTCATGCCTGCCCTTTCTAGTATCCCTGATTTCAAAGTACCTTCCAAGATACTTCAATTTGATGGGGAGTATAAAGACACTGGGAGGTTGGAAAATTTGCTGCTTCTTCTATGGCATCCAAAGCTCATTTCCAACAAAATTCTGAATAATGGGAACTATGAAATGTAAACATTAGCTAGCAAATATTTTTCTTTTTTATTTTCTCATGTATAACCTCACATTAAAGTCCTTTTCTTTAAGCCACTAGGAATTAAGTGTATGGAATTTGGAGGGCATGGGGTTTACCGCAAGGGCAAATAAATCTGAGGTTATCTGGTTCAAACCCTGTGTTTCTGATACTGGGCAGTTTCAGGACTCATTCAAGGACCCACCACAAGTAAGCAGCTAAGTGAGAATAAGAAACTACATCTATTAATTGCCATCAATTCAATCAGCTACTTGCCACGTAGTCAGGCTGATTAATTATAGTCCAGTAAATAAATGAGGGCAAAAAATGTTAGCAAGCAGTCACTTCCCCCATGAACCAACTTAGATTTAAAGATGCCAAGTTGTCTTCATCCAACCCCAACATTCCACGATTAAAGAGTGACTGCCAGAAAAATAAGCAAATTAACATGCATAGATTATATTTTTCACTCAGTACTTTCTTAGCTCTCATCTCCCCTTGGTTGTATGCAATATAAAGAAAACTTCAACATAGGATTTTGAAATGTCATTTTAAAGATTGTTTCTAAGACAGAGTAAAACACTATGTCAATTAAAGTGATGAACTAAAATGATGAAAAAATTAAAAAGCTAGTCCAGAATTTAAACGAGCTAGTCATCTTATTTTACAGCAATCAAGTTACAGCTCAGAATGTTTAAGTAATTGTCCACTGTCACTCAGAAAAGCAATACTACTTTCATTTTTTGGAAATGAAAATCAGAACGAACACAGCAATTACAAGCCCAAGGAAGAAACAAAGAACTTTTTCTTAAAATCAGTTAAGATGCTGAATTTTCTATATTTATACCTGAAAATCATCAACAAGCTCAGGGAAAAGGTGTTCATACATTTTAAGTTCTTCTATCATTCGTCCTGGTTCTTGCTGGGGTTTTAGTTTGTTAATATCCGTTTCAATATCATCATTCTGAAATAATAAAAACGTTGTATCACCAGTTAAGAAAAACATAAAGTTACAGAAGAAATTTTAGATTTAAAGTGTTCTAGATTATTAATTGAATGTAATTATATATAATTTTCTTGGTTAGCGACTAACAAGTTTACAAAGGCATTCTTTTCTCTAAACACACTAGTTCAACATTCAATATTCTTTTGTGAAAATGAAGCCTTACATAATGGCTCTCTACTTAAAAAAAATTTACCTATAAAACAGGCAGAGTGAGGAAAGAAACTACACTTTGAGAGGTTAAGGGCAGGAAATTGTGTATTTTGGTTTGAAGAAAAACAAAGATGAAGAGCTACTGACAGAATTAGAAGAAACAAACAAAACAATCTTCTAGTACTCCTTAAAAGTTCTTTTAAAGTTAAAGAGGAAAAAAAGGAGTGCATTGAAGCTTCTATACTGACAAGTCCTGGCTATCTAGAAACAAACCTTCTAGAGCCTCCAGGTTTCCGTAATTGCTTCAAACTCAAAAATCTGGGGCAAAGAGAACCAAATCACATGGTGAGGAAAAAACAGCCTCTCGGACTATAACATAACCACAATAGAAACTATACCCACTAACAGTGTAGCCGGTTCACCTGAAACATGAGAGAAGTGACAGAATTCAGATAAACAGGACAAATTAAGGGAGATCCAAATGTAACCACCAATGAAAGTACAAGGAAGACAGTGGTAAAGAAGAAAAATAAGATAAATACAGCTCAGCCATCTTAAAGAGTCAACAATTCTGTAGCCCTTGAAGAAAAATAGTATTTTAGCATGGCATAGTAGTAAAGACAGCAGACATTTATATCAGACTGCTTTATTCTAAATCCTGACCCTACCTCTCTTATTAAGCCATACTGACAATTTCTCTGTGCCTCCATTTTCTAATTAGCTCTGTAAAGCAGAGGTAATAATACCATGTACTTTATAAGACTGCTATGAGGTTAGCATACACAGAGAGCTCATGGAGTAGAATAGGCTTACATGTTCAATAAACTTAGTCTATTATTTTTTATTTTAACTACTGTTTTAAGGTAAAGTGGGGAAAATATGAGTATCACAGATACTCGTTAGTAATGCAGCCAACAACTATACTTCTCAAAAGATGTGAATGTAATAAAACACAAAGAAATCTGAAGGAGACTTAAAAGACAAGATAATTAAATGCAATATGTGATGCTAAAGAGGGGGAAAATCCTATAAAAAACTTTATTAAATCAACCAATAAAATGGAATATGCATGGCAGATTAGATAAAAATGCTGTTTTAATATACAGAAATACTACATTTCTGTCTATAAATTTATGAAGTTGATAGCTATATTGTGGTTATACAAGAGGGTATCATTATTCTTAGGAAATATACACTGACATATTTAGGGGTAAAGGACTATGATACATAATATTAAATGTAATACACATATATATTATATATAATACATATACATATGTATCAAATGTATATATATATATAACATATGTAACTTATCCTCAAATATTTTAATTTTTTTAAATTTCCAAGCAGCAAAATTAGAATCATTGTTATAATTCCTATTGCATTCTATTTCCCCACCAATCTGTCTTTAAATCTAAAGTGATTAGAAGAAATATTTTTAATGAGGACCCTGAGCCATAAAGAATAAATTATACTCAATATATTTTGTTTTTAATAGACATGGAAACACACAGCACATAAAAGAAAGGTTTCTATCAAAATACAATACTTTAAATTATTAACTTAGTATTTTTAATCTGGGAAATTTGACTACATGTAAACACTTACTGCCCAAAGAATCCCAACAGTTGACTGGCTAACAGTTCTCCTGTTGTTTAAGGAATATTCTACATACAGAACTAAAATTCTCCTACCTTGGGTCCTAACAGTTCTTCCACTTATATCAAGTCCAGAACCACAAATACACAGTTAACCCCAGACTTTCTGCTTTGACCATCAAAAGCCTAAGCTGTTTTCCTTCTTTGTAGTTTTTGAGACCGGGATGCAGACCACCATGTTGTCCAGATTGGCTACCTTGACAACTTTGCTAAAGCTTGCCTTAGTGACATATTTGGTGACAACGAAACTGATTTTATACCTGCTAATTAAGATAGAAATCTCCTTCTAGTATTTTAGGTTCTATCTCGAGAGAGTCGAATACTCAGTGTACCCCAATTTTGACGTAGCATTTTAAGACAAAAAGACCCAAGAGTCAAATGAATCCCCCACACATCCCAGCCAACGTATTAAGCTAAACAGCTAAAAATAAGGGAGTTAAGCAAACATTTTTTTCTACACATACTAAAATGGTCTACATATTAAAATAGTCCCCTTTACCATGAAATTTAAAAAAAATATCTAGACTTCTACAGGTGCCATAAAATTCTGAAAACTCATCTGCCTCTTTACTCAGCATCTCAAGTGACAATATCTTTTGTCAAATCAATAAATACTTTGTCCATGCTCCAATTAACTGAAACCTAAGAATCATTATGTAAACACTAATTCTTACTAAAAAGTCATCAGTTATATATTATTTTGCTACTATTTTTGTATTCCCAAAAGGTTGTTGAAAGAGGAATAGGTTGGCACTTAAGAACCTCAAACCACTTTCGTTCAAATTTCGATTTCCTTAGACTTCAAAATCTACTTCAGGAAGATTAGATAGTCTTCCTGGTCAGAGTGAGGAAAACAAAGTTATTTTAAGCTCTTTTCAGACCAATGAATTCAAAGCATCATTATTTTCCCATTCAATAGCTTAGGGTCTGTAGTCATCCACAATAAAAGCATGGCCAAAACAAACAAAGTAACCACTAGCCATATTTATTTACACAATCTTTGTTTTACTACTGAGTATACAATTTTAGAGATGACCAAAGATAGAAATGTATACTAACCTTAAAATTCTGACCTAGATCATCTTCATTTTCGGTTTCATTTTCAACTTCTAAATCAATGTCTTCATTATCATCACTTTCATCTACTACGTCATCCACTGTGATACAAAATGTGCTATAAGTAGGTGACAGGTAAACATTCTACAACATGCACAACCAAAGGCAGAAGGTTTTATATATACATATATAACACTGTACTTCAATCACAAAAGAAAAAAACAAATGAAATTCCTTATTAAAACAGTCTCTAAAGGATGTCCCAGGGGTTAAAGAACCTATGAGATAAAATAAAAGTATTTTAAAATTTGAAAGCACCATGAAAATGTCCAGGTTTTTTTTATTTATGATGCTGAGTCTTAAAAAATTGATAATGTCTTACGTTGCAATAGCCTGAATGAAATTTCTTGTTTCCTTCCTATTTATAATAAATTTCAGTAACTCATTTTACCCTTTACAATTCACTTCCCATTTATTTGCTTCAACAATTACTTTGTGCCATGTACTATATTGTGTGCTGGGAATTTCTAAAAAGATAAGTAAATGTAGTCCCTGCCCTAAGGGAGTTCATGAGGTTAAAGAGCAGAAAAGAGTAAACATGTAGTTGTAAAGCAAAAGATAGACATTAATAAAGGCAAATATTTAAAAATGCTATGGTAAAACAAAGGATGGAATAACTAATAGCAAACTGCTTGGGGCCAAGGGGCTATCAATAACCACTTAACAGAAAGGACAATAATTAAGCAGTACCTTGAAGAAAATACAGCAGCTTTCTAGATAAACATTAAAGGTGGCTGAATATGACTTCTATGAGTAAATAATAATGCTAAAATAAAGAATTTAGAAAAATCTTTGGAAAAAAAAAGTTAAGCATGACTTAACTTGTATGCTTGGGAATGTACTAAGAGAGGCAAATAAGAATGAGAAAATGCAGGGTATAATAGGCCAAGTAGTTCAGATTTTTAACCTAGGATAAACTCTCAGGATTTTCAAGCAGAAAATGGTTTAATTCACCTTGTGTTTTCGAAAAAAATTACTCTGGCAACTGTTAGAGACAGAGCATTTTTGTGAAGAGGGACCAAATAATAAAGGAAAAGACAGTAATTGTCTGAACCGATACAGCAGTAATAGGGATGAAGAGTAAATACACATCAGAGAAACACTCAAGGAATAAAATGCAAAAGGACATGAGGATCATGGATGTGGGGGAGACAAGGGAAGAACAGCAGAAGTGTACCTGGAGAGTTCTCATGTGAGTAACTGAGTGCTTTAAAACCAAGTAGAGAATATTTTTGAAGTATTTTTCTCAACTCTTTTTTCTATTTTTTGACTCTATTCAGGAATAACTGACAAATGTAATTGTTTATATTTAAAGCATACATCATTTAATATACATACATATTGTAAAATGACTACAAGATGAATAATGCATCACATCACAGTTAACATCTCCATGTGTGCATGTGTGTGTGGTGTGAAAATGCTTAAGATTCTCAGGAAGTTTCAAGTATAGAATACCTTAGTACTAATTATAGTCAATATGCCATTCATTAGATTCTCAGAACTTAACCTTCTTAAAACTGAAAATTTGTAACCTTTGACCTCATCACTCCATTAACCACTCCTCCAGCCCCCCGCATCCAACATTCTGTGCTGTTTCTATGAAATTGTTTTTCTTTAATTCCATGTTTAAGTGATACCATACAGCATTTGTCTCTGTCTGGCATACTTCATTTGGTATAACATGCTCTAGATTCATCCATGTTGTCACAAATGGTGGGATACTCCTTCTTTTTTTAATGGCTGTATAATTTCTTATATATGTGTGTGTGTGTATGTGTGTGTGTGTATATGTATAAATTATATATAGATACAGATAGATAAGTGAATGAAACACTTGTCCTTTATCCATTCATCCATCAAAAGCCATTAAGGTTATTTCCAAATCTTGGCTATACTGAATAATGCTGCAGTGAACATGGAAGTACAGGCATCTCTTTGAGATAATTTCAATTCCTTTGGATATATATACAAGAGTGGACTCCTGAATCGTATGGTAGTTCTATTTTTAATTTTTTGAGGCACCTCCATACTGTTTTCTGTATTAACAGTACATTTTATTTTCTCACCAAAAGTATATAAGGGTTCCATTTTTTCACATTCTTGCTTTATTTGCTATCTCTTTTTTTTTTTTGGTAAAAACCATTGTAACATATGTGAAGTGATGTCTCATTGTGGTTTGATTTGCATTTCCCTAATGATTAGTGATAATTGAGTGCCTTTACATATACCTATTGGCCCTCTGTATGTCTTCTTTGGGAAAATGTCCATGTAGGTCTTCTGCCCATTTTTTTAATTGGATTATTTGGTTGTGTACTATTCAGCTGTTTGAGTTCCTATATTTTGGATATTAACCCCTCATCATATATATGGTTTGCAAATACCTTCTCCCATTTCTACACTGCCTTTCAATGTATTGTTTCCTTTGCTGTGCAGAACCTCTTTAGTTTGTCACAGACCCACTTGTTTATTTTAGCTTCTGTTGCCTGTGCTTTTGGTGTCTTATCCAAGAAATCATTGCCAAGACCAATGTCAAGGATCTTTTTCCCTAGTTTTCTTCTAGGAGTTTTATAGCTTCAGTACTTATTTAAGTCTTAGGTGAATTGCAAGTTAATTTTTGTGAGTAGTGTAAGATAGGGGTCCAGTTTCATTCTTTTGCATGGGGATATCTAGTTTTCCTTATATCATTTATTGAGGAGTCTGTCCTTTCCCCATTGTGTGTCCTTCATACCCCTATGAAAAATTAGTTGACCGTGTGTGTGCGGGTTTTTGTCTAGGCTCTCTATTCTGTTCAACTGGTCTATGCACCTGCTTTGAGCTCCATATCGTTTTGATGACTACAGCTTTGTAGTACTTTGAAATCAAGAACAGTGATGCCTCCAACTCTGTTCTTCCATCTCAGGATTGCTTTGACTATTTGAGGTCTTTTGTGGTTCCAACAAATTTTAAGATAGGTTTTTTTATTTCTATTAAAAATGTCATTGAGATTTTGATAGGGATCACACTGAATCTGTAGCTCACCTTGGGTGGTGTGGTTATTTTCACAATATTAACTTTTCCAATCCAAGAACACAGGATACCTTCCATTTATTTGTGTATTCTTCCATATCTTTCCGCAGTATCTTACAGTTTTCGGTGCACAGGTCTTTCAACTCCTTGGTAAAATTTCTCCCTAAGTATTTTATTGTTTTCAAAGTTATTTTAAATGGGATTGCATTTTTTATTTCTTTCAGGTAGTTACATTGAGATTTTGATAGGGATCACACTGAATCTGTAGCTCACCTTGGGTGGTGTGGTTATTTTCACAATATTAACTTTTCCAATCCAAGAACACAGGATACCTTCCATTTATTTGTGTATTCTTCCATATCTTTCCGCAGTATCTTAACAGTTTTCGGTGCACAGGTCTTTCAACTCCTTGGTAAAATTTCTCCCTAAGTATTTTATTGTTTTCAAAGTTATTTTAAATGGGATTGCATTTTTTATTTCTTTCAGGTAGTTCATTGTTAGTGTATAGGAATACAACTGATTTTTGTATATTGATTTTGTATCCTGCAACATTACTGAAATCATTTATTCATTCTAATGCTTTTTGGTAGCAATTTTAGGGATTTTTATACATAAGCAATGTCATTTGCAAAAAGATAATTTTACTCTTCCTTTCTGATTTAGATGCCTTTTATTTCTTTTCCCAGACTATTATAGCTAAGCTATCCAGTACTGTGTTGAATAGGAATAGCAAAACTAGGCATCCCTATCTTACTCCTGATCTTGGAGAAAAGGCTTTTTTTTTAACTTTTCACCACTGAGAATGATGCTAGTTATGCAATCATCATATATGTCCTTTATTATGATAAGGAAAATTCCTTCCATACCTAATTTGTTGAAGAGTTTTTATCATGAAAGCACTTTGAATTTGGTCAAATGCTTTTACTACATCTATTGAGATGACCATATGATTCTTTTCCATCATTCTGTTAATGGATGTATTGCATTTTAATTTGTGGATGTTGAGACATCCTTGCACCCCAGGAATGAATCCCACTTGATCATGGTGTATAATTCTTTTTGTTTGTTTTTAAATTTGGTTTGCCAGTGTTCTGTTGAGGATTTTTGCATCAGGGCTACTGGCCTGTAATTTTCTTTTCTTGTAGTGTCCTTGTCTTGGCTTTGGTATGAGGGCAATGCTGGCTCTATAAAATGAATTTGAAATGATTCTTCCCCTTTAATTTCTTAGAAGAATTTGAGAATTCTCTTTAAAGGGATTCTTCAAGTGTTCGGCAGAACTTACTTGTGAAGCCACCTGGTCCTGGGTTTTTATTGGAGACTTCTGATTCCAGATTCAATGTCCTTATAGTAATTGGCCTGTTTAGATTTTCATCTTGATTCAGTCTTGGTAGGTTCTGTGTTTCTAGGAATTTATCCATTTCTTCCAGGATGTCCAAATTCATTGGAGTATAACCGTTCATAGTAGTCTCTTCTACTCCTTTATATTTCTATGGTATCAATTGTAATTTCTACTCTTTCATTTACATTTTATTAATTTTTTACCAGTCTGGCTAAAGATTTGTCAATTTTGTTTTTCTTTTCAAAAACCAACTACTTACTTTTGTTATCTTTTCTATTGTTTTTCTAACCTCTCATTAATTTATGCTTTAATATTTGTTATTTCCTTCCTTTTGCTAACTTTGGTCTTAGTTTGTTCTTCATTTTCCAGTTCCTTGAAGTGTAAATTAAGCTGTGTATTTGGATCTTACTTTTTCCTTAATGTTTATCACAAAAAAATTCCCTCCTAAAATACTTTTGATACATCCCATAAGTTTTGGTACATTGTGTTTCCATTTTTGTTTGTCTCTGATTATTTTCTGATTTCCCTTTTGATTTCTCTTTAGACCCTCTGGTTGTTCAGAAGTATGTTGTTTTATTTCCACATATCTGTGAAGTTCAAAGCTTTACTCCCATTGTTAATTTCTAGTTTTAGACCATTGTGATCAGAGAACGTACCTGATGTGATTTCAATATTCTTACATTTGTTTAGACT